CGACAAACTAATGACCATTTATACATTTGTGGGTCTAGACTGCATAGATCAAATGTTGAAATATTTAGATCAATACGATAGAAAGAGATTAATATTAATTTCTCACAACGGCAGTGGATTCGACAACTGGATCGTGCTTAAAAACACGTCAAAGTTGTCAAAGTGTCCACTGATAACGCAGAGGGGTATTTTGTCTTTACCCATGTCTAATCCTTTCACCGATAAAGATTTACAGAACAAAAATGGAAAAGACAGAAAAAAATAACGAGCGATAAAAACTATTTGCAAAATATCAGTTTCACGTGTTCCTACCAACATGAAAAATCTAGTTTAGCTGCATGGGGAAATTCGTCCAATCTTCCGGCGAATTTGAGAAAGATTGCCGACGTAGATATCGCTAAATACACCCAAGACAACTGGAAGGAATTGAGAGACGAATGGGAACCATATGCAAAAAGGGATACCCTATGTCTTGGAGCTTGTTTGATAAAATATAACCAAAACATTGTTGTATTGAAGCGCTCGTTTTTCAAATCCGTGATTTACTCCGCGAGACACTCTTTCCAGTGTGTTTCTAGCAACTACCCTTATCCTAGCAAGGTCTGAGTCATTTGCTACAGTTCTGACCGGTTCTTTTAAAACTTCTCCGTCACCGACATCAGGAATCCATCCCGAAACTGAATCGTAGTTTTTGGGATACAGAACCGTTTTCAACATTGTGTCAAACTCGCCGGGGTGTTTAATGGTTTCTATCGGATTTGAACCAGCTTCCAAAACCATTTCGCTGAATAAAGACAGAAGTTGTTTTCCAAAGTCGTGTTGGTTTGTGGAATTCGATTCTGAGTGGCGTCTTTGATTTTGAAATCGCATCGGAAATGGGCATCGGAAAGCAGCAATCAATTGGACAACGAATTAATTTCAAAGGTAACTCTTCCTCCGTCGTTTATTTGGGTCTTTGTCCCTACCGATGGTGAGATGATTACGTAATCCTCTTTCTTTTTGTTGAACGAATATTGAATCGGATCATACAATTGAAAGATTGGATCCAATCTGTAATTTTTGCTTGCCATTTTTATCCAATGATTTTAAACCCTTTTCCTTGTTTTTCTAGGGCTTGTCGTTCTAGTCTCTTGTTTCTCAGTTCTCTTATTAGCTGCAGTTCTTTAAGTTCGTCAGATTTTTTCACTGCATCGCTTATATTTACTCCTGCTTTTGCCACAGATCCAAGAGCTTGCGCTTCTGAGGAAATGAGGGATTTGTTGTTTGAGACAAAGTTGGCCACTTTGGGGATGAGAGATGATAGCGCAGAGAAGAAACCGTCTCCTTCGAATTTTGAAATTAAAGACATCTTATTTTTTTTTTAATTCGGTTATTTTATACTGTATTATTATAGTGATTCTTGTCTGTGGTTTGGGTAATTTATATGGAGTCTGTT